CTATAAAAAAATACACAAGGAAACATCTGAGTGAAGTCAACTTCAGTAAATACTTGACATTACGCATTTGGTTTTGCATCGGTTTATCTTTCATAACTCCCTCAAGAAAATGATATATCACATCAAACCGGTTCTTTCAATGATTTAAAAGAATACTACGCCCGCTAGTAACCTACAGAACCGGCATTTTTTCAATAAAGCAAACTTTTTCTGGTAAATAAAGGTCCATGGGCATTTTGATTATTCAAGATATTTTATGAGACATCTTCCCTTTATTGCAGTCAGACAACGAAAAACCCGACCGCTTATCTTTTCCATTCACGCCCGCCGCGTGACCCCTCAAGATGCTGCTCCCGCGGTGTATGCACTCATAGCACTGTGGGAATTACTTCCATATTAGCATGGCCAGAAAAAATGGGGAAGCTAAGCTTAGAACTAAGTAGAATAAGGCATCTACATCACTAGTACGGGAACAAGGTCCAAAGGAATAATCAAGTGTATGTCTGTGCAATCCTCAAGAGAAATGCTCTCAACTAATGTTCCTAAAGATGGTGTTAAGATGCCGACGATAACTGGGGGCATGCTGACTACTGAAAGATAAGAACCCGGCTTGATTTAATTCAAAACGCACGTACATGTGCCATGTGGCTGCATAGTTCCCGGCGACACAGACGAGAATACCTGCCGTGATCGTTTTCTTCTTGTGCTCCCATAAGGTCTTGCCTAGCTTCTGTACTTTACCCACAGCACTCGCCATATCGATCACCCTAAAGCGAGATGATCATAGTGGCAAAAATAGACGTATCACGCTATAACACAAGGCGCTTCACAGCTGTTCGATACACAGCAACAAAATAGACAAATAATCCGTCTTATTTTTCAAGGTGACTACAAATAATGTCTGGCATCTCCTTTGAATTCGCTATGGCTGACATAAATTCTGAACATTTTATTGAAGTAACAAATTGAAATACGACTAGAAACAAAGTAAACAAGCGCAATCACGCTTGCCTAAGCACACGCAAGAATTGAAGACGTATTATACAAAACAACCACGATGTAACGTGGAAAGTTGTGGAATTGACAAATCGACAATTGCCACGTATTGGATAGAAGGAAATAAGATAAGTGTACTCCACAGAAGTCACGTCACGCGGCGAAAGAACATACGAAGAATAGAACAATTCATCAGAAGCGTGGCAATAATCATTTGCACTCGTCCTTTGCTTTCAATAGCATAAGGCTCATACAAGTGGCAGCATCTTCTTGGCTGTCGTGACCGCTATCTATAAGTAACCAAATCTATACGACTAAATGGATGACTGCAAACTCGCAACAAATTAAACTCACCATCTTCTTGGATGATCTTTTGAAGATACTCGCTGGCGAGATTCCGTAGAGCCCGTTTGAAAGGGAAACCTTGCCTAAATTGATAGATATCAATTTATATATCAGGATACGGAACCCGGCTGAGGCGAAAGTATTGCCCACAACCCAACAATCATGTGATAAACTACACAATCCTAATGTCGATGCATTTACTATCAGAGTTCCACATTTAACTCCCAGATTATGCTCTCAGAAGAGACGTCTGATCAACTGATCTCACTTTCCTTGAGGGTGCCTCTAGAGCTAGGATACTGATGAATCGCGGATGCTGTCAGTGCCATCTATCAACACCATGCATCAGCTCAGAGCTACTATGTCGAATGCAATGAAAGAGCGTGAAAAGTGCAAAGCAACAAAACATGTTAGACTATGACGTTCACGCGAAAAAAGATTAGACAAACAAATGGCCAACCAACTAGAAAATCCGAGTTAATTTACCTGTGCTCGTAAACAACGGCAGTATCCACGACTTTTTCATGTCGGAGTCTCATTGCTTTTAAATCAGATTCCAGGCTATGCCCAATCAATATGCTTTGCTCGTTTACTAATTCGAAGAGACGGTTTTGTGCCTAGAAATCACTCTAACGATCAGTAAATACTGAGAATAGAAAGCTGGTGAAACAAACCTCGAAGAGATCAATTGTAGATGCTTCAACTTGGTTAGCCGTCAAACCAGAGAACCGCGTATTGTAGTCGATTACTCTATTATGAGGCTTTACTATGAGATCGAGCACTAATTTGTTATCCATATCTACAACAGACACACGAGCCAGTTCAGGGCCCCACACACCGTAGACCATTTCGCAATCCATGGCGTAAACCTACAATAGGTAATCACTTCGTGATATAACGGTATGCTAACAATGACAACTCTCGTATCCCAACCTTTTCGTTTCTTGGATCGTCTTCTCCTCGTGAAGGAGGTGTGGGCGTAAACTCGCGTAAAGCTTCTGCATTCAAGGTGTCAGAAACGTGGGCCTCCGCAACACAACATCCGGGCGTGTTGCGGTCAGCACCACAGCAGGAAAAGTACGACTCGCCACGCATACCTGTCATAAAAATTTAAGACATCTACTGAAAGAGAAAATCGACCCCAGCGAACAAATAAAAAGCGAGGAGAGAAAAGTAAGAAAAAAGGTAAGAAAAGGAAAAGAAAAAAGATAAGAAATGGAAGAACAAAAGAAAATAACATGAAAAAGAAAAAGAAGAAAGAAGGAAAAAAGCAAAAAAAAACGAAACAAAGTTAAGAAAAATTGTAAAAGAGGCAGGCATATACCTCCACGTCTCTGAAGCCCTTTGAAGTGATAAATGCACTCAGCCGTAACCACATTTCCTTTAGGATCCAAACGAAACTCTTTATGACATCGTGAGCACAAGCGCTCAAGATCTGAAATAAGTCCAATTCACTTAGATTAGACGGACTGATAATGTAAAAACAAATGCATTCATCATAGCCTCACTGACACTCAAGAAAACAGAATTTCAAAAATTCTGTGGAATGTCAACTTACCGTCTTTTTCTGCCCATGATTTTTGCGATTTTGACTTCTCGAAATGGGACGGTGCTATTGTCACTAGTTGATCATCGCCCGCAACAGCTCGTGGATACCTTAATGAAACAATCTCATCAATTCAAACAAGACGAAAGGAACTCATTTGATAGGTTTGATGGAAATATTTTGCCGCACTCACCCGTTTCTAATCAAGTTGCTCATCTGTCATCAAATATTTCTCGATGAGTATATTATAGAACTCCTTCTCAGTAAGGGTACTGACGCCATGTTTCTCTGTTTTTCGAACCCGAATTGATATGTCATTCACATGACGGCCCGCAAGAACAGCGTCATGTGAGAGAGCTAAAACGGCACATTCAAAACATCGTTGCGGACATAAAAGAGAACAACGATAAAAAAATTTCACAAAAATTCAATAGATTGTAACATTCACTACTACCATGCTCGAATAATCTTCGTTGTGTAGGGCAGTATAACTGCTCGCAGCGACGCTCAACCTGCCGCTTTTGGAACACCCGGTTTCGATAATCGCGGTAACCCATAGAAGTTCGATGTCGCTTCGAATGCGGCCTCAAACTATCGCCGCCGTTTAAAAACCCGCCAGTGGCACATTTTTTATGGAAATCTTTCACATGTTCTCTGAAGCCAGGTGCATGCAATGACAATCAGGAACTACAGTAAAAAGAGTTCAGAATGAGGGCAATGCCTGGGATTATTAGATCAGCCTCACACATGACGCTACTTTCACGAACAATTTGCCTTCATTAAAATACAACGAGAATTGCAAGATCAATAACATGTGAAAACATCGACATTCTGTATGCACATACACGCACTTTAGCTGGCTAGTACCACTGAACTGTCGAAATACGTCTATAGACTTTGATTCCATTTATCCTTTCGTTCCCCTCGTCTCTATTGCCACACGTGTGCTGCAAGCGAAGCCTGACTGTTCCTTTCTACTCAATGCATTTAACCCTCAGATGAATTTAACTATTCAGCTGTCGAATTATGACCCGGAATGCAATTTATTTTCTGCCATTCTTCCAGTTGAAACCTCAGATATAGGTTCGAAGGGAAATCAGCATTAGCAGCTGTCGGTAAGTCGCACTGTGGATTCGCTATCTATAATCCTACAAAAGTAGACAAAGACAAAATAACCACGCGCACAATCCTGAGAATCACGAAAATAATTCACTCTCCATGAATCACTCCGACGCTTTCGAATTTTGGTCTTCATGTTTACTACAGATGTTTGAACTGTTCCAATTTTAAATGGATGAGAAACAAGTAGCTCAAATTTGAAGGAATGAATCTTGATCAACCTTTTGTTTACTAGGAGTTCAGATGTACTATAACAATTTTGCGAACTTTTAGAGATAGAGACAACCGTTTGAATGAATGAGTACTACAGGTGACGACTATTATCAGAATAATATATGGATCTTGGAAAAACGTATAAAGAAGCTTCTATTCTGTACTTGTCTTCAAGCCGTCTCCCTCCCCAACCTACACGCCACCAAAAAAGTTCGTAAAGTTATGGTAATATATATCATGAACATCAAACTGCTCTACTTGGTAGCCCGAACGTGTTTTCAAGGTCAAAACTGTCCTGTTGCGTCAATGTCCAAACGTCGAGGACAGGGTAGTGAGAAAGTCTTCAATAAGCTTGGAGGAATTTCAAGAGATCAAATTTTGTTTGATGTGTAAAAATGGAAGATGGGTTGCACGTCAAACTAGGGAGACTATATAGGGCTACGACTGGGATAACCCAAATTTTATCTATTATAACAATTAACCAGGTTGCGTGTAAAGCCATACTGGCTCCGCAGGTAATTGAGTTTCCGCATAGTGTTAAATGCCGATTCTCTCCCGACAAAAAACATAATAACAGATCATTACCGGGTTCCTTCCTATCTAAAACGTTTCCGAATTCACACATATAAGTTGCCGCTATCGATAAATGCGGCATAGAAGCTAACTTTCTGGAATGAGGAGAAAAAAAAAACGGAACAAACCACTGCTATGATTAAAAGCAGCGGCTTCGCACCATCTACAGGGAATAACAGAGCATTTCGCAATGCTCTATGTAATAAAAAATGCCATGAATAGAAAATACTGGCATCATTCGAAAGTTTCATACGTCTGACTGTTGAAGAAAAAGTGCAGAAAAAGCGCAATGATGTTCTTATCTTAATAAGCTGCTATGTGCAAAAAATTCTTTGCTTTTTTTAACTGTTAGCGGAATGAACCCTGAACGAAAAAAAAGCGGAAAAAATGCGACGACTTCGTTGTGAAAACTGCACTTCGTTTCACACGTTTACAGTAGTTGAAGAAAACTACGCTACTATTCAAAAACTTCATTTCCCAGCTTGCTGAAAGTCTAGTTGCCAATCGATATGTTCTTGAAAAAATATATAAGATTTGGTGGCATTCAGAGATATACAAAATACAGTTCTAGCTTCTTTTTTTCTATACCTTATAACGTTACCGAAATTCAAATGACTACCAAAACTGACGACGCGCAGTGCCCTTTTTGCTGACTTGGTTAAACTGTTGGAAATCACGTTCACTTGAACAAAAGAAGTATAGATATGTGATGCCACTAGATTGCACATTATTAAGGCTGCAGTTCAACAAAGGGATCAAAGCGAGCAGAATAAAATATGTGAAAAAAGCGAAGATATTTCCGGATAACAAAACATTTCAAGGATGCGCTTCTTACCTGCTCTTGGCTTACTAAGACCAGTTGATTTGGCGTTGCGAATACGACCGATCAGATTGATTGCTGCCACTTTATAGCCTTGTGCATGGCGAACTTTGTCGAGTATTGCCTTCTCCTCAATTTCAGACTGAAAAGTTACGATTGCACTCATGATGGAATGGAGAAGTGAGACTGCAAAATGACCTCTATACCCCGTAGTCGAGAACCAGAATCGAAAATTTGATCGAACGCTTTAGTATCGAAGAACATTGTATAATGAACATGATGGTTTTACAGTAAAGGTTCGTTTTATGCGCGTTCTTATTTTGCCCCGACCGGAAGCCTTGAGTCCCATCTGTCATAGTCAACTGATAAAGTTAAAAATACTGCGCTGAGCAACGTACGTGACAGTCAGTGGCAAATGATAGCGCGATTAGGGCGATGAAAGAACGCTCAGAAGCAGAGAAAGTATACATGATAAAAGGTTTCATGTCGTCAACTACTGGTAGCATAAAGAACATCCAACAAGTCTTCTAATAATACTAGAAATGTCGCAAAGTAGTTATGAACTTACTGTCTGAAAGAGTGTAGACCACATGAAAGTAACTTTGATTAAGTAGAAAACGGGTAATAGACTCACGTTTCTAACTGCCTCCACTTCTGGGCAAACTTCTAAGTACTGCGAGAAAATCTTGTTCAAAAAATTCACTCGCAGCGAAAAAGGAATTTTACTATTCGTCGGATCCCGCAGTTTTGGAATCGATTGTGACTGGCTGCCCTGTAACAGAAACAGTAACAGCGATGAGTGTTCTGTAGAAGTGCACTATGTGGGAGCCGTACCGACACCAAGCTAGTTCGTGCTGTTCTTGCTTCTCCTTTGGCTATCGAGCCAACGATATTTGGACGCCGATGGCCATACATCTGTTCCAAGGTAATCGGCTTCTGAAAGTTTTCGTTTCGTTACACTCCGTAGTCTTCTAGGTCGCAATTCATCGGAGAACATGCATCTCTAATGGGCATTGAAAATCTCTTAAATAATATGCATGCGCTCGCTAAATGTCGCCTTTAAGAAAACTAAGCGAATTTAATTAACTTTCACTCCAGAGACTGTAACAGAAAATTAGATGCAATTTGCGAGATGTGTAGTCTTAAAACTTACCATTGAGCTGAGAGTTGGAGAAGTTGATTTTTCCTTTGCTAACGAAGCCATCCTGGCCTGAAGCTGTTCACTTGCAGAAGGTGCTCTTCTAGTCGCTACTGAAGCCATCTTTATGGCGCGATCTTGCACCTGAAAATCCTCTATTGAAGCAACAGAATTGAGAGACGAATCAACTGTCGGTATAGTGTAGCGAAAGAGATCTACAAAACACCAAGAAACATTTAGAGAGTACCTTTTTTACTAGAAAAATTAAATATTTTGAAGCATTTTGAATGCTCGTTATCTTATATATTTGGTTTTCCAAAAAAAAAGAGATTAGGGTCGCATGGTGATGCGATGACCAGCTCCCGTAACGCTACGCCCCCTCATATTTACTCGTCCTTTCTCCCACTGTGATCCTCCACCATGTGGATATCTCGGAACTGGGAGGTCGGATGAACAGGTACTGAAGTAACTGTAAGATTCAAACAGAATCTTCTTAGCGTTAAACAATCGTGGTAATAGTATAGCAAAAGCTTAAAGATCGGGTTGTGCAGTCTACCCTCAAAATTTATCCCTTTTGTAAAAAATTTCGATCGATCAAATGTGCAGCTAATATGAATTCAAGTAAATAAATAATTAAACCAATACTCAAGAATAACAATGATTATAAATTCAGAGAAAAATACAAGAAAATAATCAGCAATCTTAGCTCCCAGAATTCGCTATATTAGCTTCAGGGGTGGATAAATCAATAATTCCAAGGCAGAAAAGTAGTTGCTAAAATTATCATAAATAATTATAGCAACATTCAATCCGCTTGGATCATTTAGCAGGTGATACATCGCATAGTTAAGCTATAGAATATGCAGTCGTTTTTAGAGTAGTAAATGCTTATGTTATGAACAGTAGTTGTATGCCATAAACGTAGAATTTACTCAGAAACTAATTCTAAATCTTACAAGGCACTTAAAATTACTGCCTTGGCAAAGTGAGATTTGAGTGAAGGATTGGATGAACACAATGAGGCCAGGTTCATGCACTGATCTGACCTAGAGATAGATATCTTGGGTAAAGCGAAGGAGAAGGCGTGGGACACCTAGGCTACTTAAAAAAATCCATTCAAATTGTATCCCTCAGAAAATATCTTGTCTTTTACGTGTTTGTAGGCGTTAAGAAATTACGCCATGGTACGCCGACGCTCACGAAAAAAAAATGTTTTCCAATTGTATCCCTGGGAAAATTCTTGTCTTTACGTGTATGTACGCGTTAAGAGATTACCGTTAGAAAACTACATGTCCACTTCTTTTTCAGGAATAACTCTTGGTCCTAAGACGACTTGCCTTAACACTGCTCGGAAAAACTGTAGCGTGGCCTTTTAGGGATATTTCCAAAGAATCAAAAAATGAGCTGCGCCACGTACTCGATTTATACTGAAAAACAGGCAAGCCTTCTAAATTATCTGATCACAAAAAAAAACATTACAATGGATCAGAAGTACTGAAAATTCTGAAAGCGTTATATTATTATGAAGGGCGAATTGAAAAGGCGTGTCATGACGTGTACATTGGTACGCTAACACCCTTGTATTTGGTATGAGTCATAGTTTCGTAATTGCGCCCCTACTTGACGATGACTCATCGTCTCTCTTTATCTACATTTTCTTAAAGCTGTCAATAAACGGAAGGAAGCACACCGGTAGCATAGGTCATGTGAAGCTGAGGGTCTATTAATAAGATCGCCCAGACTTTGTTCCCACATCACCACATCACCTCTGACGTTTCTTACGCCCTCGTCTCTCCCTATCAATCCTTTGACTCGCCCACAAGACTCATTCTTTGTACACTTCCCAACCACGGGGGGGGGGGTTGTTGATGATGTTGAATTTTGGAAAGGGATCAGATTTCAGGTTAACATTGAAACTGATTTTACGGTCTCGGAAGGCACTCAAAAATGGGAAGAGAAATTTTGTAGGTATTTTCTCGCTGAACTCGGATAAATGGATAAAGTATAAAGCATACGGCGTTGATCAATACCGTTTCAGAATGCGCCGCACATTCTACTTCCACTCACATTCGTAGTGGCAATTTGAATGCGACCTATACAATGACTTGCGGGGGCCAGCCGATGTACAAGTCAGTGTTTTTATCCTCCCAGACAAGTCTGGTACCAATTAACCGACCCCGGAGGGATGGAAGGCTTGGTTGGCCCGGGCGACTCACGACCCAGGATTTGATCCCCGGACCGCTCGCGTGGTAAGCAGCGCCACCTGCCGCTAGGCTACTTTCCCTCGGAACTCGGATAATTTTTGGAAAGTTCTTTTGAAAGTCGACAGTTATGTGTACCCTCCCATCCTCTATGCATTTTCCACGGAAAGAGGGAAGATTGGACGTATTACCACAGGGAACCAGTGTCAAGCCCCCTCCCTCTAAGCATGAATTTCACATCTTCTGGTGGAAGTAAAGCCTGGTTTTAAGTAGTATGGGAAAAGGCTGGGATTGCAGAATAGACCTGGAGGCGAGGATGAATTGTGAGACCCTAACTCTCTGACCCTAGCAGACCTCAAGGGTGCTGATCTCAGATTTTTCCCCCAAAAAGGTTGGGCTTGCCTGCAGAGCTAATCGATGCCATAAGCTAATCCGTGAAACCTGAGTCACACAGCGACAGCTAGCAATGGCTGACAAAAGCACAGAACATAATTTCTCTACCCACATGGGACACACAGTGTCAATACTACGACTGGAATTTCGTCATATGTCCGACACGAGAGACGTCCTTTTTTAGTGGACAGAAAAAAATTCCCACAACGTTGACATGCGTCGGACAAAAGTTTCCACTATAATGTGCTACTTACTACTTACATATTACTCACTTATTACTATTTATGCGTAATATATGCATGTTGCGGCTCAAACAGACCTAAACGACGAAATATCATGCCCAACTTTTACTACTGCCAACAACGCGTTAAATTTTATTTCGCAATTCTCCGACATACGTGCTAGTTCGCTAGTTAAACAGAGAGAATCCCTCTGACACAACCGTCACACGACTGTGAATAAGAAACATTGTCCGAGGACACGCACTGGTGCACGTACACAAAGCCAGCTCGCTCCCGGCTGGTTCATAATGAGTTTCTAGCCAAACGAAAAAATTATACTGTCACAGCTGTAGATCAAAAGGCGACTGTGGTAGTAGATCAACTCAACACATGGTACACAATGTGTTAAAGATTTTGACACACTGGCCAGTACGTCTCGATACATGAGCAGCCGGGTCAAATAGTAAGATATTTGTTTGCAGACTCTAAAATTCCCTCGCTTACAAGGGAGGTCTTTCAGGGCAAGGTGCGCTTTTTGGAAACGGTTTGAGTACATGTTGTAGGGACGCATGTATGGACCATAAAACCATGTTTCGTTTTCGCTGAACGGTTTTTATAAACACCAAAAAAGTGGTGAATAATACTCTTGATGGTTCAAATCCCCGCGGCGACTAAATTTTGAATCAAGGTTGCAGACACTTGTTGGCTTTCAAAATGGTCCTGGCGATGATTGTAATCATGATATTTGATATTCTGGCAGATTTGGACCACACGTAGCGCCAACCCAAATGCAAAAAGTCGCCACGGGGTCACAACCCTTAACAGTACCTTTTTTTGGTAATGCTATATCCGTTCAGCAAAAAGGAGACATGGTTTTGCGTTCCCTACATGGTCGTTACAAAATATTTATTTATTATTTTATTTGATGCACGCATAGGTGCGCTATATCATAACCATATGCATACTGTATGTGCAAATTTGCAAATCAAGTTTGATTGACCTTGACTCGTTAGGAAAAGAAGCTAGTACGCACCAGAAAGAAGTGAAATTTTTGAGCATTCAGAGAAATTGAGTAGACCAACATGTTCACCACCGGTGACTCTAGATAGGCGGATGGCGCTAGGGATAACGCCACTCCTAGACGAGCTCAGAGCATACGTACGGAATCCGAAACTGAATTTTCGGATGTTAGGTATTCCCTACCCCTAACAATTCAGTTTCGGACCGCCTTTGAGATCAATTCAGTCTAGAACAACCTTCGAGACTCAACTAA